GGGGAGGAGGAGCAGATGAGGAAGCAGAGAGGGGGCCGGGGGGGCCAGCGATTCACTTACCAAGCAGTTCTACAGGAAGGATGTGGAGGGGAGGGAAGAGAGAAGGAGACGGAGAAAACGTGTGAAAAGAGGCTGAGGGCTGGGGCGCGTGCCCCGCCTCCCCCCCCTTCCCCAACCAGGCCGTACCGGCACCCCCCTTTCCGCAGGGGAGCAGCAGGACCCCTCCGGTGCCCACCATTCCCTGGGAGGCAGCCGGGGTGCCCCCACCTGGGATGCCGGCCCTGGCCAGGGGTGCAGCGGAGGGGCTGGTTGGGGGTAACCCCCTTCCCAGGAGACCCCTCTCTCACCTTTGCGAGCCTTTTTCTGGAGCTTGAGGGTGTCAGAGGATTTTTTCTTGATCTCGTGGCGGGCTCGCTTGTACTCTGGGGGCACAGGAGTGCCGTCAGAGGGGACTCCCCCCGGCTGACCAGCACAGTCCCCTCTGCACGGATTCGGCCCTTCCCACCCGTACCTTTCGCATGGTCCTTGTCGAGCTGGTTGGCGGTTTTCTTCCAGTCCTCAATCCTGTCCTGCAAAGGGTTTATCAGGCTCTCCATGAGGGCGCTGGAGCAGGGAGAGAGAGGCCAAGAGTGTGGGAGAGCGCCGGAGCCAGGGGGCAGCCGTGCCCCCTTCCCCGGGCCCAGCCGACGTCCAGCATCTCCTTCTTCAGAAAGGGAGGGCTGAGCCCGGCCAACTCGTGTCACCGATGCCCTGGGCCTGCTTACTTGGTGAACTGCCGAAGCTTGGCCTCGATGCTGCGGTGCCGCATGCACATGCGGGTCAGCGCGGAGCCAATGTCCCTTGTGGCACCTGGGGGGAGCATGAAACGCAGCTGACGAGGGGCAGGGGACACCCCCACACCAGTCCCAGCCCAGTATGGATACTGGGACCAGGCTGGCTCACAGTGGGGACGATGAGTGCTGGGATGCCCTGGGTTCTGGGGACACTTTGGGTGCGGGGCGGCTCACTTTTTCCCCTGATGATCCCCCGAAATAAATAAACCAACATCCACTAACTAATAAATAAAGCACTAAATATCCCTCCCCGCAGTTTCAAAATGAAAATTTGCTCCTGGTTTTTCCCAGTTTGTCTCCAACCCAGCACTGGTGGGGGGGTGGGCAGGGAAGGGGGAGCGAGGTACCGTGCAGCCGGCCAGGCACCAACTGAGAAACCAGGGGGACTGGCTTCCTTCCCCAGCTCTGTGCCAGGCAGCCGGCTGCATCCCTCACCTCCAGGCACGATCCCAAGCAGATAAAAAGGGAGTCAGTGCTCCCAGGGGAACATTGGCCAGCAACAGAAAGCAGGAGCGTCCCCTTTTGGTGAAACCACTGTTAACTCTGAAGCCTAAGGATGGCCACATGGTGGCAGTGCTGCTGGCAAATCCCAGGAAAAAGCAGCGATCCCAAATCCTTGGGCGCAAGCTAGGGAGTGATATTCTGCCTTTCTCCCCCCCAAAAGGCCCCCAGAGACACCTCCCACTCTTTGCAGGAATTTTGGGCACCCCCCCACCCCCTGTGCTGCAGAAACGGGGGAGCCCGCAGGCTGAGCACCTTCCCCTCCTCTGCCAGGGTATCCTCCTAATCCTGCTCCTAATGCTCTTATCCCGGCTCCTGCTGCTCTTAATCCGATTCCCCGTCGCACTCACGCGCCGCGTGCAAGGCCGCCAGCCTGCCCCCACCCAGCGCCCTGCCTCAGTTTCCCCACATCACCACTCTGCCTCCACCCCCATCCCAAAAAAAGCAGGGGTGCCCCCGAGATGCCACCTGGGGTGCGGCACTGCAGGGTGGCCCCCGTGATGCTGACTCCCGTGATGCTGGTCACCAGCCATCCCCAGCATCCCCCCCACCATGTCTCCTCCCTCGTTTTCGGGGAGCTGGGGGAGCCCTAATCCTCCCTGGTGCAGTGGGCTAGTGGGTTTGGAGGCAAAGCTGATCCCGGCTCAAGCTGCTGCTGCCTCCTCCTCCTCCTCCTCCTCCTCCCTGTGCAGCTCCAGATGGCCTGGATGCCGCCAGTCTGCAAACCAGCCCGGGACCATCTGCTTGGCAGAAGCCGAGCGGTGGGAAGCGGCTCCTCACTGCCAACAAGCACCCGTGGAGGGTCCGGGGGTCCAGGCCCCCCACCCTACAGCAGCAGGGGGGGTGCCCCATGTGCAGCCTCAGCTCTTCGTTGTTGCCTCTCCAGCAGGTTGGGGTTTGTCCCTGAAGCAGTTGAGTGTGGGCTCCTGCATCTCCCTCCACCTACTTCTCCTTCCCCAGAGCCCCCCGCGGCAGCCAGCATCCCCCGGGCACCTCCCAGGTGAAAGCAGGGGACAAGGGGCAGCGGGAGGGCAGCTCAGACCCATAGCTGGGCGCACCCCTGGGGGGCAGGGATGGGTGCAGGGGACCACGGCGCAGGGCTGCATCACCCCAAATCTCCCCACAAGCAAACTAGCCCCACATAAGACACTGGCTAAGCACCCATGAGTGGTGAGGAGCAGCACCCACATGGGTGCCCACCCCACCCGCACCCCAGCCTCAGCCACACTCTGTCCTTCTGACCCTGCTTCCCAGGGGATGCTCCAGCTCAGGGTGGGGATGGGTTGGCCACGTCTCCATGGATGGAGGAGTTTCTGCCTGAAGCCAAATGGGCAGGGGACACCTTGCAGGGGACACTTGCCAGCCATCCCCCTGTCCAGCCAAGCCCAGGGACGCTCACGCCTGGGTGGGGAGGACCCTACCTCGGGTGTTGGTGGCCATGTCGGCCACTTTCTGGAAGGCATCCAGGAAGGCGACTGCAGCCAGCACCGTGGTCCTGGGGTGAAGAGAGCGAGGGGGGAGCTCAGCGGGTGCCGGGCACCCCAGATGTCCCCTGTCCCCCCCCCATCCCCAGCCACTCACCTGAGCTGGGAGTGCAGCTTGGTGGCCTTTGAGTTGAAATCCTCCCAGATGGGGTAGGAGCTCTGCAAGGAGGGAAGGTGACAGTGAGAGCTGGAGCCCCTCGACCCCCTGCGCCCCTCCCCGGGCAGGGCAAATCCCCCTGTCACCATTACAGAGAGATGGGGCAGGTCAGTGGCCGTGCCTGGCTAGGTGTGGCTTCTCCGATGGCTAATAAAAAGCCTAGCACAAGCCCTTTCCCCTCCTGGGTTTTTCCCCTTCCAGTCTGGCCATGCAACCTTGAAGACCATGGAGACCTCAGGATTTTGGGTGAGCTCTTGCTCTTCCTCAAAGGGGTGAAGGCAGCTTATGGGTTTGGAAATTTGAGGGGAGGAAAGGAGCTGGTGCTCAGGCAAGCTCTGAGACCCAGGCCAGCAGCAGAGCAGAGCCCACAGCCACTCCCAAAGCAGTGATGGCCTCCACGGCCCCAGCACGGAGGGCTCCAGCCCTGCAGTGGGCAGCCCCTGTCCCCGGCTCCCCTCAGCCCACAAGGACCAACTGGGCAGGAGCGGACATCTGCGGTCCCCGCAGCCCTCAACAGGGCGGTTGTGCAGGGACATGGACAGGTCAAAGGTGCCAGGGAGGCCTCCCCGGCGCCGTCCTAGTGGGATCACCCTGGTGCCATCCTGATGAGGCCATCCTGATGCCATCCCAGTAAGACCAGTCCCAGTGGCCTCATGGCAAGGCCATCCCAGTGCTGTCCAGTGCCACTGTCCCAACAAGGCCATCCCAGCACTGTCTCAGTGAGGTCAGTCCCAGGAAGACCAGTCCCAGCAGTGTCTTGGAGAGGCCAGTCCCAGTAAGATCATCCTGGTCCTGTCCCAGCGAGGCCAGTCCCAGTAACGCCAGCTCCAATGCCATCCCAGTAAGGCCAGTCCTGGTGACATCCCAGCAAGGTTAATCCTGGTGCCACCATACAGTGAGGCCATCCCGGTGTCACCAACCCAGTGAGATCAGGCACAGTGTTGTCCTGGTGAGGTTAATCCTGGTGCCACCTTGACGAGGCCATCCCAGTGCCAGCCTGGCACGGCTAGTCCCAGTGCCACTGTCCCAGTGAGGCCATCCTGATGCCACTGTCCCGGTGAGGCCATCCTGGTGTCATCCCAGCAAGGCTGGTCCCAGTGCCACCATCCCAGCAAAGCCATCCCAGTGAGGCCAGTCCTGGTGCCACCATCCTGGTGAGGCCATGCTGGTGCTGCCATCCTGATGAGGTCAGTCCCAGTGCTGTCATCCCAGTGACACCACTCTGGTGCCATCCTGCTGCCACCATCTGATGGCAGTGCCAGGGACTTGCAAATCCCATCTGGGGTGGCCACCGGGCCGGGCCGCGGGCACCAGAGCTGGCTTTGCAGGATGTGGGTCACCACACATCCCCATGAGCCCAGCTTGGTGGCACCTCAGGGTTTGCACCAAGGGTGCATGGGATGGGCCCAGCGTTGTTTTTCTGAGGACCACAAAAGCCCTAATTTCCTCATGAATCAGCAGAGGAGGGGTTTGAGGATGCCCCTTCATGTGCCACTTGTGGCAGCGCCCTGGCCATGAGTCCCCGAGGACTGCCATTGCCGAGGGCAGGGCCACTGTCCCAGGGCCGTGGCGAGCAGAGGCTCCCCATGAAGGAGGGGGCAGGTCGCGGTGCTGGGCAGGAGAAGGATAGGGACAAGGACAATGGGGACAAGGACATGCCAAGGTCACCCAGGGACGCCGAGCATGCTGGAAGAGAGGCAACAGGAATGAGGCCGGCGCAAGGATGCCGCTGGCTCGGGGACTGCCACCAGGCTTCGTTGCTCGAGTCCTCCCCAGCGGAGGCTGAGGGGTGCTGAAAAGCCACCCGCGACCAAAATAAGGTCCCTTTGCGCCTGTGTCCAGCACAGGGGTCCCGGTGGTGGGACTCAAAGTGCATCGCTGCCATTGAATGCTGCCAGCACTTTGGGCAGGGGATTATTTTTCCCTGACCCCCAGTGCCTGTGCCAGGACACCCACGTGGCTGGGAGATGGGGACAGGGATGATGCTGCGCCCTTGGGGACCACCGGCGCTGGGCTGGGGCTGTGCCAGGTACCAGCAGAGCGCAGTGGGCTTTTTGTCTTCTTTTTTGTTATTTCTGTCTCATCTTTCCCACCTGCATGAATCCAGCCCGGTTTCCTCAGGCACACCAATGTGCGACGCCATGGTGAGGGGCTCCTGGCCCAAGCATGTCCCGATGGGGCTTGGCATGCCGCTGCGTGGCCGTGCCGACATCAGCCGGGGGGATAACGGCTCCAGGCTCGCTCATCCCCTCTGCAGCTTCAGCAGGGGAATGGGGAAACTGAGGCACGGGCTGCCCCCACCTCTACCCTCCCCACCAGCCCTGGCCACCACCACCATGGGGCTGGCACCCGGGGAGAACTGTGATTTTCCCCCTCAAGGGCTTTTCTCCCAGCCCGGAGCCAGAGTCCAGCCCCGCAGAGCCACCATCGCCCCTGGAAGGGGTTAATCTCCTTCTCAAGCAAGGCTTTTATTTTTTTTTTTTTTTATCCCCCCTCCCCTGCTTTGGCAATGACAGCATTGTCTGGACTGGGCTGCAGCAAGAAGAGAGGAAGAGGAGGAGGAGAAGGAGGAGGAGGAGGAAGAGGAGGGGGAGGAGGGCTGGCATAGGATGTAGACTGGGGCTAAACCCCAACGCTGGAAATTTCGGGGCCCCCCAAGATGAAGAAACCCAGCTGGTGCCCTCCTCCCCGCTCAGCCCCTGGGCAAAAATGCCCCCCAGCATTTTTTATTTTTTTGAAATGAAAACAAACAAACAAAAAAAGGCTTTTTTTTTTTTTACACGGCCCCATCCTGCTCCCAGGAAGGGTGGAGGCAATGTCCCCTCCCCAGGCTGGGAAATGGGATCGAGGAGCCAGGGGACCTTTTTGTTCTGTTGGTGCAAACCCAAAGCAGGTCCGGCAGAAATCCAAGCTGGGGAGTGGAGGGTGGCGGGGGCAAGATGATGCCCCAAATGGGGCCAGCAGTACCCAACCGTGGGCCAGCAACGCCTGGTCTGTGATACCGTATGTGGGGCTCCAGTACCCGACATGGGGCTGTGATACCCGGTGACGGACACGGGGCTGACATGGGGCTGTGATACCGGATGTGGGGCTCCAATAGCCGGTGATGGATATGGGGCTGACACGGGGCTCCGGTACCCGGTGACGGACACGGGGCTGATAAGGAGCTGCGATACCCAGCGTGGGGTCCGATGCCCAATGCAGGCCCCCGACGCCCGATATGGGGTTGATGTGGGGCTCCGGCACCCAGTGTCGGGCTCGGAC